GCAACATAAGGATTAACATTAACTCTCAAAAACTTATCACACACTTTTCGAAAAGAAAAGAATTTGGTGCTTGTTTGAACTTCCTGTCCCGTTCTCAACTTCTTTTCCAACTAAGCCACTAGCAGAATCTGTCGTGTCAACTTTTTGAAAATTTCTGAAAACTAGAAAATGAGAAAAATCAGAGCTTTATATATGGCAGTGCGTTACAAATTTTTGCAAGCAGTAAAACAGAGGAAGAGAAATTTATTTTCAAGCATGCATTGGAAGTAAAACTTGAAAATGATTTCTTTTTATGGCATCTTTATAAGCCGTAAACGAGTCAATATCAGCGATGTAGTCAGAAATATCTGTGTAAAATTGCGCTTGCACTGGACGGCCGCGCAACAGTGTCTTGCAGTCGCTTCCGAACGATAAGATACCTAGAAGTGTCCACTGACCATTTTTGCCCTGAGCAGCTAAACCTCCACCACTATCTCCCTAAAAGCGGCAGATTATTAGTTATTGTTAAATTGTCAAATAATATTTTCCGAAAATTTATTAAAAAATACAAAGGGCTTGATGAAATGATAACTGGCGCTCGGCCACGATTCGAAATCCCAATTTTTTATAACTCATTCTTTCGCTTCGATGGAAAGTTAGTCACTTGGCAAACATTACATGAACTCAAACAGAATTCAGTTTACATTTCAGATAGCTGAAAAAGCAAAGGGACCAATGAACTCGTTCCGATACTGCAACATACACTCATTTCCGAGTCGATGGTAGGAGTTGTAAAAAATGCGCACTTGTTGTTTTGGTTTATGAGCGTCTTAAGTTACAACTTCTGTTTCGCTTTGAATAACGGGATGATATTAAAGGTAAATGGTAGGAAGAAGGACCCACTCCTCGGCAACAGGATTAGAATATTGGTTGGAAAGGAGCTGAGATATTCCCTGGAGGTTGGAAAAATTTTTTCAGCCATTTCGAAGACGAGTATGCTTCGCACGGGCGAAGCCTATCCGAGCCCAATTTTAGTAGTTGCAGAAGTAACAAGTTTCTCAGTTTTAGCGTTTATAATTGGCAAAGACTTGTTAAAAATAGCATCTTTATGTCACAGAGTATGTAGTAGGATCGTTTTTTCTTTGATGAAGTACTGTGAAAGTTGAAACGAAAATGTGGACTTTTTAATTTGCAGCGATTAGTCCACGCATTTTTGGCACCTCCTAAAACTCAGTTAGTCGGGTGCCTTGAATTCAACGCATAAATTTTTATTCATCCATTTGCCGTAGAAATTAGATATTTTTTCGAAAGAGTTCGCTAATCAGCTTCTCACCCAACACGTGCTTGATGCTTGATTTTCCATAGTGCAGAGAGCATCTTCTGGAATCTGCCTCCAAGCTTCTACACACCTCTCCTGCACGGACAGATTCGTATAATTAATCACTTGTAAATTATTCATCAGATCCAACTGCTGCGAAGCTAAAATTGCATCACATTAAAATCGCCACATAATTCTTGGGCAGTTAGACGCAAGAGAATGCCGTTCGAGAAAGTGAAGCAACAAATTTTAACAGCCGCTGTAAGAAAGGCAGTAAGTATTTCTCCACGTTACCAAAAATGAATCGTAAATGCTAACGATCAGCGCCCCAGCCGTATCCGATCAGCCGAGCGATTTCATGTTGCCTGATGATATGACGGTGTGCTAAGCAAATGTAGCTCGTGAATGAATCATCATCAATCAAATCCTCAAGTTCGAGTAGCGCAAAATCTGATTTTTCACATCGTGAGTAGAAAAAACGTCCGTATTGCGCTCTAAATGTATTTACTTTTATCCACTTAAAAGCATCTCTCCAATTTTGACATGT